GAACCGTGATGAGATGGCGAATAATTCCCTCTACTTTGCAGTATTCTCCAAATTCCTTGGAGATATACACCCCGCCATTGTTCAAACGCAAATATTTCACCCAAACATTCAAGGCTTTCACCTTGTGCACCGTTAGAGTCTCAACTTGGGCTCTTCAACTTTTAAAAGTTGTAAAGACTTCAGACTTTTCCTTGAGAAAATAAACCTACACAAATCTTGAGTAGTCATCAATGAAAACTACATAGTACCACTGGCCAGATAGTGAGGCTACTGGAGAGGGACCCCACACGTCACTATTTACATATTCAAGAATCACCTTGGAGCGATGAATTCCAACACAAAAGTCTTTCTACGGTGCTTTCTCATAACACAATGCTCATATAATCTAAATCAATCTTACCCAAACCGGATAAAAGATCCTTTTTGCGAAGCAAAGTCAAATACCTGTCATTCATATGGCCCATCCTGGAATGCCAAATTTGAGCCATTCCAGGTCAAGATCTAGTGACATTATTCTCTAACACATATAGAATCCTATGCTTGTTCCCTTTCAAAACAACTTTACCCTAGCTTTGACTTGAAGTACACCATCAGCTATCGACCACCGATGATTATTAGTGTCCAATACACCAAGAGAAATCAAGTTCTTTTTCATCTCAGGAATATATCTCACATTTGTCAATGTGCGAACTATTCCATCAAACATCATAATCCTCACAGATCTAATATCGACAACTTGACAGGGGTGATCATTCCCCATCAAGACTGTACCGTTCAATGCAAGGTAAGAACTAAAGTACTCTCTATTGTGACATATATGGTATGAACAAGCACTATCAAGAATCCATTCATCATCTCTTCTTTCAAATAATGTGCAGAGGGCATACTTCCGGCATCATAAAGCATAATCATCATCAAGCAAATCATACTCAAGGTCAGCATTTGCAACATTTGCATTTGCAGAGGATGAATGACTTGCTTTTCCACGAAAATCCTTCTTCATGTGGCCAGCCTTGCCACACTTCCAACATAGCAAGGTCTTCTTGTCTTGAGACTTCCCTCAAGACTTCGATCTAAATTTTTGCTTGTCTTCATCCGTCGTCTGCTTTTGTGACCTACCTCGATTCACATTTAGGGCCAATCCAGACGATGTAGAGTATAAAGATTGCTGCATCATCTTTTGTTGAAGCTCATATGTCTTCAACGCACTCACCACCTCATTGTAGGTGATGGTTCTTCTATCTCAATGTAGAAGTACTTGAGATAGATTCTTGTATGAAGGAGGTAGTGAACCCAAAGAGTTGAAGAGACTTTCTTTCGTCACTTAACTCCTCACCAACGTTTTGTGAATCCAACACAAGATCATTGAAAGCATCAATGTGATCTTGTACCTTGGTATTACCATCCTTCATCTTGAAACTCATCAGCTTCAAAGATGTGTAGAGTCCATTGGACAACTCCTTTTGATGGTACTTCCGTTGGAGAGTCTCGAACAACGACAAACAATCCCCATACTCTTCAAGCTGCCATATCACATGGGGTTGTAGATAGAGCATGACTGCATTCACCGCTATCTCTTGCATGTCGTTCCAGTCTTCTCCAAGCACATCTGCCGGCTTCGTCTTCAAAAGCTTACCCGAACCGGTAGCTTTCAACATGCCCTTCACTTGCCGTTCCCACAACAAGTAGTCCGAACGTTCATCATACTTGGCAATCTCAAACTTGGTGCCACCTACCTTCATTGTCCCCATGATGTCTCGCCTGGTCTCTTAGCCTTTCTACGGTGCTATTTCAATGCCAATATGGTTCTCCGAACTCTCTCTTCCTTGGTATATACGAGTAAATGTGGAAAATTACCCTAAAAAATGAACCCCAAGAAAAAATTCAGTACCATTTGAACATAGCCCACAAGATAACCTTTTCAAAACTTCAAACAATTTGCAAAACCGAGCTTTGAGTGAAAACTTATTTACCTTCAAAGTTGAGGGGGTCAAAACTGCCAAAAATTACTTTTCTCCCCAGTTTTGACCTCCCCGGAGAATCTTGAAAGTGGAAATAATTTTCTCCAAGGACCTTCGGATATGGCTGGAACGTACGTGTAGCTAACTTTGTCACAAATGCGCACAAAAGTTTTTGGCCAAAACGGGCATTGTTTGCCTCTCCGACTCCACCGTCAATGGCCAGAATATGACGTTCTGTTTTTGAAATCTTTTTAGAGATTCTCTGACAAGGGTGTTTTTTGGAATCTTTTTAGAGATTCTGTGACAAGGCCGTAGGATCCTGTCGCACGGGGAGACAGAACCTGTCACAACGCCCCGACAGGGCCAGGGTCAAAATTTAGGGATAATCCCTTATAATTTTTGGGAAAAAGTTACAAGGGAAAGTAGAAGTGAAGTGGAAGGGGGAGGAGGAATCGACTTTTTTCCAAAGAAAAAAGATAAGTGTTTTCTCCAAAGACGGAACGTGAACTTCAAGAATGTTTCCGAATTTGCTTCTGTCACTACGACAGGCCTGTTCGGGATTTCAGGCTTGTCAGAAAAGTACCTCGACTCACATCTCGATCCCCTGTTCGCCGTAGACTGCAATTTTGGTTGCAAATTGTCCGCGCCGACTCAATGTCTCCGTTGCTCTACTTTTTGTCTCGTTTTTCCTCACCAAACGAACCTCACAACGAAAAATGAGTTTGAGTTCGGCCCTAAATGTCCATATGCGATGGAAACTCCAGCAATTGTTTTCGTATCGTAACTTTCCACCCGCAAGTCAAAACTCGACTAATCTTGCGCCAATGCAACCGGCTTGCCTTGATCTACGTTTCGCACACAACCTTGCATGTTCACACGCACCGTGACTCTCCCGAAATCAAGAAATCAATTTCTGAAATTTCACAGAAAACCGTCGGTAAAATCTTGAAACATTCGACCAAAAAACCGTAAAAAAAATCTCTAATCTTGATTACTCCGCGCTCTGAAGTCCGATTGATCTTGTTCAGGTATCGTTAGAACAATCTCAACTTAAGCTCTCCGATTATCCAAGATTTTCCCACATCCACACGACGAAACTTCAAGAAAATCTCAAATCGTCTACTAACTAGTCGCACGAGCACTCACAAACTTGTCACCTCCCAGGTGGGCTCTGATACCATTTGTTAAACATAGACGACATACACATTGAGACATACACGCACGAGAGAAGTTGACACCAATAGATAACGTGGTTCACCTACACTAAGGCTACGTCCACGGGAACAATGAGAACTTTACTAAGACTCTAAGTCATAGCCGTACCGAGTCTCTGCTCTCCAAACTCTCACGTTTTCCTGAAGCACTCATACAAAACGAATGTTCTATCTCTCATCTAGTGAGCTCACACAAACTCACCTATATAGCAAGCAACGCTACCGAAGCTGGTCCCTAACTAAAATTAAACTAACTAGAGTTAGCCAAGACCTAAGAGTTATACTAACAATTTATTGACTATTTTCTAATGTTAGTAGGTCTAATTGTCTACACAACTGATAAGTATGTTAACCTCAATCAAACTAAAATATTTGTTAATATGATGTTTTGGATTTGATGACATGACATAAAGCAAAACAGACTTCGTATTATTTAATGACTGCTTAAATTCTGTTGTTGCTTTTGTGTGATTTGTGTATTCAATTTTTCTTAAGATGGTTGTATAACCATGCTATCGGTTTGACCTTTTTGACAACTCTGAATAAATCCTATACTCTTTCTGGCAAAACTCGAAAGCTAGGAGCACTAGGACTAGATCATACCCAGCCATAGGAGGCAGTGAAATAAATTCACTCAAACCTACAAATTTAAGATTTATTTCCTTGTACTTGGAAGCATGAAAAATGACTTTGACATCGAGTTCAATTCATCTTCTAGTCCATACTCGCAGTATCTTTTTGCATCTGTGCGTACCTTGTTCCGTTATGTTCTATACTCTACTCTTGCTAGGAAAGCTCCGCACGGATGAGTGGTCCTTGCAGCCCTTCCGTAACTGATACGGGCCACGAGGATGCACTTTTCAGTCTTTGGGGTGTGAGAAAGAAAATTATGTTTCCGAGCCGTGCGACGAAGTGAATCTCTGAACAATAGCCATTCTTTTTAGCTTGGGAATTGCCGAATTGGGGCTCACTGGTGGATCTGGTCAGTCCAGTGCATGCCAGTAAGGGCTAACCACCGAAAAATAAAGTAGGATCAGAAGAAAAAGCGGTCCCCAAAGAAGAGTTCAGACCTTGTGAGACGAGTATGAGGCTTTACCTCCCTTAGGAATGCCAGCACACGGATGAGCACGACATGTGAACAAATTTGGGCGGATTCAATACGGTGAGACTTGTGCACCCGTGCAGGTCTCCACTTTCAGCGTATTTGACTTTATCCGGTGTATATATTTGACTTTGAACAGCACCCGAATGGTCTGACACAATCGTCTGTGGCTTTTTTATGTTTTTGTTGGGGTACATTTCATCAGCCCGAGAACTTTGATGATAAAGAAGGAAAATGGTTGTCAAACCAAACGACTTTTCGAACGATTTTTTGCATCTGGAAACACTAGAGTAGACTGTTGTTTGGGTTTCGTTCTGTTCAAATGGATCTCTCCGAACGCTTGCTACAACGTTGACTTGCTTACATCCTCATTTTGGTATGTTTCTCGAAGTTTTGGTAAAAAAAAATGTAAAACAATTTAGAACGGATGGGCTTCGTTTGTAATTCTGAGGTACAAAGATGATGACGATGGCTTGTCTCCGGGAAAATATCGTACTACGATTCGAGCCTTGAGAATAAGTGTGAGATGAGGCCTCACGCCACCAACTTCTTTCACCACGTTTTTCCTATTGCGTAAGTTTCCGCTGGGAGCTGAGCAGCCCAGGCAGGCGCCATGCACGACAGCAGACGTCACCAAGAAGGACGAAATTAATGTGTACTCACTTCTAATAGGACAAAGTCGAGAGTTCTGTATATATTGAAATTGGTCCTTGTTTTCTGGTCAATCTCAAACTTGGGTTCTTCCAGCGGACCAAATGTGTCCCAGCCGCGACCTGTTCATAAGCTAGAAACACACGGCTCCGTTCGAAAAAACAGCTCTAGTCTGAGCCTCAGGGACCTCACTCTCGATCCCTCCACGGGTCCCTGCAAAACAGTCTTCAACGTTGGCAATTTCAGGTGTCCAATTCGTGTGTGCATTCAATCGTTGCACATTTCATATAGAATCTATGCGCAACTGCAATTCTGACCAATCACCAGCTCCTCGAGATACAATTTAACAATCAATTCCAGCACGTGCGTGAGTGTGGTGTCGATCGCCAGTGGCAGTCCACGAAGAGAACACTCATTTGCGGAATTGCCGTGCAGGTAAGGGCATCGGGTGCTGCCGATAGGACTATGGCTGCGGTTGTCAGTAGTCAGATTGTCGTGTCTTCCCTCGATCTTCAGCGCAAGACGGCTGCAGGCGCGCTCGGGGAATGCTTGGGCTCGGTCAAAACATGCCAAATCGTCCCGCCCCGAGTCTTCGACACCAGACTCCGCGCGCGGAAATGCTTCGAAGGACTGAACAGCTCGAATTCGCGGTCGAGGTCGGAGTTCAGGATCAGCAGCGCTCTTCGCACTGACGATGGAGGCGCGTCGATGTCGGTCCAGGAAGAAATTCCTATTCCCAAGGGCAGCGATGTCGACGAGGAGGACCTCGAGGGGCTGACGAAAGAAGAGCGCCTCGAGGCCGTGCAGGACGCGAAGCTGGCGCTCCATCCCGAACGGGGGTTGCTGGAGAAGCCGACGGATCTCGAGGACCGAGGCAAGGAAGAGAAGCACCCATTCGCGCATCTGCACGTCGGGCAGCGATGGCGCGAGATCCAGGGCGCGAATCAGTGGGCCGGTCTGTTGGAGCCTCTGGACGAGGTCCTCCGCGGGGAGATTATGCGCTACGGGGAGTTCGCGCAGGTCGCTTACGATGCCTTCGACTACGACACGCACTCGCACTACTGCGGGAGCGCCAAGTACCACAAGAAGCGGCTGCTGGAGAGGGTCGGATTGCTGAATCGCGGCTACGAGGTGACGGATTACATCTACGCCACCTCCGGCCATGACCATCCCATCGCCAACTTCTTCCGGCGATTCGACTTCGACGACACCGACGACTGGGATGCGGACGAGATTTGGGACAAGGAGTGCAACTGGATGGGCTTCGTGGCCGTGGCCACGGACGAGGAAGAGATCGCGAGGCTCGGGCGCCGGGACATTGTCATCGTGTGGAGAGGGACCGTGTCGAAGCTCGAATGGCTCGAGAATCTGCGCGATTATCTGGCTCCGAGTGCCTTCGACCTCCAGGAGCGGCTCGGATCGGCCGACATTAAGATCGAGGCGGGTTTCTTGAATGTGTACACGTCGCGACACGAGTATTCGGCCTACACCAAGAGAAGCGCTCGGGAGCAGGTTCACAGCGCGCTCAAGAGATTGGTGCGCAGGTACAAGGACGACGAGATGAGCATCACGGTGACAGGGCACAGCCTGGGAAGCGCTCTGGCGCACGTCTGCGCCTACGATCTGGCGGAGAATGACTTCCACTTTCGGGAGGAGCATCCTCGCGTGCCCGTGAATGCCATCCCTCTCACGGTCTTCTCGTTCGCCGGCCCTCGAGTGGGCAACGACGCGTTCAAGGATCGCATGGAAGAGCTGGGCGTCAAAGTCCTGCGCCTCGTCAACAAGCACGACCGCGTGCCCAAAGTGCCGGGAATTCTTCTCAACGAGAGGCTGGAAATGCTGGAAGAGAAGGCCGGGTTTTTGTGGAACTGGATCGAGAAGTTGCCGTGGACGTACACCCACTGCGGAGTATCCCTTGAGATCGATAATCTGGACTCTCCTTTCCTCAGAAAATCCAAAGACGCTCTTAATGCTCATAATCTGGAGGCCTACATCCATCTCGTGAATGGATACCGCGGAAAGAACAAGGGCTTCGAGCCCGCCATTCCTCGAGACATTGCTCTTATTAACAAGGCAAGCGATTTCCTGAGGCCCAAGCACTCCATACCGCCTTCTTGGTGGCAGGAGGAAAATAAGGGTCTCATGCGCACCAAGGAAGGTCGATGGGTACCTCGCGTTCGTGACCCTGACGATGTGCCCATGGCCGAGGACCTGGAGCATGAAACCGCTGTAAACTTTTCGAACAGCAGTTAATCAGAGAAATTCGTCCCCATTGTACTTTTAATTAGTGAGCACAGTATCAGTTTCCCTCCGCATGGTCTCGTTTTGTATATTTCAGTCGGTGATAACTCTATAGCACAGAGGAGCCTTTCTTCTGATAGGAGTAAGTGCTCGTGGAGCACGCAGAGGGTATTATAGAAGCTGCCAAATGGCGTGTAAACTTGAATTTGTGAATACTTAAAAATCCTTTCTGAGGACTCTGGGAAGTCTTGTTGGTAAGGGTATGAAATACCCTCTCCACCAAGGATTTCATGCCCAAGTACTTCCACCAAGACTTGATATACCCCCATGTGTTTCTGGGATGTATATATTATAAATTTGAAGTTTCTGAATTTTACACACAGCGCACTGTTGATTGGTTTTGATTCAAGTTACTGGATTCCACTATTAGGATTCTGAGGACTAATCTGACGCTGCTTTAATCACACGATCAGACATCTATTGAATCATTGTTCGACGTCGTTGTTAGTCGCCTGGACTGATGCAAACGGTTTTCAATCTGGTAATCAGTGTGATGCAGGAATGCACGTCGAAAGAATCCAAACGTTCAAACATTGATTTCCAGAGATCTACGGCTCTGCAATAAGCTCTGGCATGGAGTTCAAAGTGAATCATATGCCTCTGTGTGCGTTATGATTCTACTCACTCATCTGATATGTGGAGAAAATCATTTTACCATTCTGCTTACGAAAGGCAAAGCTGCAAGGCAAAGCTGCAATTGGGAATGAGAAAACCTGCAGTGATTGCTTATTTGTCAAATCAACCGATCGAGTAACTCGATCGGAAAAACTCGTTTGGAACTACATTTCTATTACAAGTGAAACCACCACCACCACCACCGACTCTGGGTTGTGAGAATGATGAAGAAGTCGCTGTTCACGTCAGAATGATGCGCGTATCACACAAGCGGAATACGTGGCACTAGTACCTTCACCTCATTGTGGAGCATTCACTCACCACTCTGTGACGCAGTCAATCGGTCTCATATGGAGTCACGGTGTGAAGTAGGGCATGCATCAGATACATACTTTAGTCCGAATCGCAATTCTCGAAGCTTCAGAGCTGAGCTAGAATAGGAGTAGAGCAGACTGAGGGAGGGGTAAGTCTATGAAATATAGAGAAAGCTAAAAGCTGGCAAGAAAAAATATCGATGCTCAGATGGTACAACTGACAGAAAGGGTGCGTCTTTGTCTACGGCCTGACTGGATCCTTCTGAACGGCCACTACCGTTGTGTACACCTGGACAAGCTGGCCTCCATGGCCGTGTATGACTGCATCCTAGCATAGGTTGGATGCGAGTAAAGATACCAAAAAAACCTCTTGTACATCAATTGTGTATGAGGTTCGCACGAGTTATGACCAATCATGTGAGAATGCCATCTTTGCTATTGGTGATTGCTAATCATCAAGGTGAAGGATGGATTAAGAACACATGGATGCTAAACAATCGGTGACAACTAATCAGGAAGGTGAAGAATTGACTAGGAACACATGGATGTGACAGAGCAACAGTCACGGGCTACTCCACAATGGAAGAGCAAACAAAGGATATTTTACGTGCAAGAATGCCTACGTCGGAACTGTTTCCAAGTAAATTCTCCATACAGATCAAGTATATGCCAAAAATCACGGTCAAACTGGCTAGCATTCTATTTTCCCTTCTCTTGGCGGATGTGTTTAAAAAGAGCACACTCCTATGAACGGTAAATAGTAATATAGCGAATAGAACGGAAGACCCCATCCGGGAATATAGTGATGAAACCGAGGGGTAGGATAGGGCTAGGTCCCAATAGCATCACAGAGACAAATATGTCCACCTATCTATGTATTTGTCTTCGGGATTGTTCACCTTTGGAATGCATCAGCAAGCACTGTGTATGGATTACTGGATACGTGCTACCTGAAATACAATACATTACAATGATACCACTCTACTTGTGCATTGTCCAGAAAGTATTAGATAGGGAGATGAAGATGGCATGACATTTGAAACTTTGGAGAAGAACTACTGCAGGTTGTAGAGAAGTAACAAAAAGACGAGTGAAATCTGTCTGCCTGTTGGTCACATCTCATCTTGTCACCCATCAGAGTTTCATTTGCGCTTCTTCAAGCTGACGGCACTGAGCACGCAGGATGTGTCAGATGCCGACCTGACAAACATCTGGTAAGTGTCCCGTGGCGTGGATTCTTTTTTGCTCGATAAACGAGAGGTACCAAGTAATACGGCATAAAGGACGGGAATACCCGATCAAGTCGTTCTGAAACAAAACCCGAATGTTTAGGATGAAGCTAGGCCAAAAATTGGAATCAAAGGTGTAGGATGAGACTACGCCCTTATAGCATCTCAAGGAAAGATTTCAAGGAGGATGTTCAGCGTGAAAGCTGAGAGGGAAGTAAACTCGTTGATGGAATAAAACTCGGAATAAGATGAAGCTGGTGTCATCTGACGCTAAATCGATAGCTTCTCTTATTTGAACCCTGGAGAGGTACCTAATCATTTACTGAGGGGCATCCCTCAGACTTTTCACGCAGCAGTCCTGTCCTCTTCTCCCCACTGGAAGCATTCCTTCAGCATGGCCACAGAAATTTCGTCCTCGACTGTTCCTCTTCCGCTTGTACATAGGCAGTGACACAAACAAACGCTTAATACAACTGTACCCCTGTACTGTGTACTCACTCTTTGCAGCTCACCGCTATCATAAATTACAGCTCTGTCTTACGCTCGCAAATGCTTGGTGTCACAACAAAGGACCAAACAGAATATACCTTAGCACGGAGCGACAAATTGCATTCATAATTGACGTGAATTTGTAAGCCTACGAACACAGGAACTCGGTTGGCAACTGCTGCATAATTTTGCTGCTTCATATATTGGGTACTGTTCTATGTTTGCAACTTGTGAGAATGGAAGATGTGTAATTGTTGGTATAACTTCACCAGGAAGAAATATAAGTACTTTCCGTTATATATGCAGGTATATTATATATACCATATTATATATATAACATATATATATATATGTTATATATATATACAGGTATATAATATAATATATATATAACATATATATATGTTATATATATATGCAGGTATATATTATGTTAATCAACTTCATACGCATTCAATGCCTGATAAGGCAATGAGTGCGTATGACTAATCAAGGAACATGAGAATCTTCAACCCTGGACGCATTCCCTGCACTTAACACACTTTCCAAAGCAATATCTGAGTACCTCAGGAATTTAAAATGTTTATTTGATTTCTATGTCAAATCAACTCGAGGTTTGCTTCCGAAGGGCGGAAAATCCAATCTTATATCACCTAGATATAACTTTTCATACATATATACACATGAAAGTATAATGCTAGTTGAAAATGCTAATAGCTATGATATGTACAATTTCTCAAATTTCAATAGAGGTCAAACGTTTAAATCCATGCGCATCAGATTTTCACACTTATAATTCTAACTGGTGAGTACATACTTAGGATATTATAGAATTCTGAGCTGTTTGAATATAATATCACAGGGGTGCATGGACGAGTGGAGCTCACCTACTGCTCCAATGTGTTGATTCACAACGGACACTACCTCATTGGAAAGTTTGGAAAGAATCCATTTCACAGGGAGATAATTAAAAGAAAAAAAATGCGAGCAAACTTCACTCTACATCTAATCTTGACCCTACACTAAAACATATAGGTGTACTATATATGTTTCTGACTTACATGGAATAGCAACATAACAAAAAAAACAGTATCAAGGACGGGATAAAGTACTCTAGTCCCGATCTATTTTGTAATAACGTTGTTGAGGGATGCGAATAGCGAGTTCTCAAGCCATACTGCAAGCTGAATTGTAGCCTGGCACATAGCCTTGCATTTGAAACGTGCGTCTGAAGTTGAATATAACCATCAACGTGGAGCACGAAGAATGATGGTGAATAGTCAGAACCCAAGTTCATGCATCAAGTACTGCAATTCAGAAAAAGCGCTAAACTTTCGGTCCACAAATCATAAAACTTGTTCCACATCCGGTTTGCATGGTTCTAGTAGGTACTGTCGTCAGCATGTGTAAGGCACATGTACAAAAGTTCATAAAAAACTGAACATACGACTGAACCAAGAGTGAGTTCATTCTAAACGCGAGACTATATCATATTTTGATATATTCGCAACATGTTGGCAGAAATATGTCTAGACATAGGGACGAAAATTATCCCGCTCTATGTGAAAGCACATCCGTTGCCAGTGAGATCTAGAACTGAAGATTATATTCTACTTTCCAGAAATGAGTCATACTATACAGTAACGCTAACAATTTCAAGGCCTAATTCTAGGCCCTATTGCTCGGAAGTAGCATTTTGATAACTCTTCGTTCCATTGCTCAAAGGTAGCATTTTCTCCTAGTGGATATTTAAGGTTATTTCTTTGCTCTAGGCGTATATGCCTGCCAAACGATGCGCCAGCTTACAAGGCGCATTCCTCATATATTACGACTTTTGGATAAATTAGTCCTCTGTGGTCTTTCCAAGATGTGCATCAATCTGACAACTCTGTCAATGACAAGTACTAACAAATTTTAACGAGCTTGGATGAAAGGAAATGCTCATGTTGTATAGAATTAAAATGACTTGGTTCGTGGGATGATAGAGCTCTCGGCCAACTCTTTTTATGGATCTGCAGAAATAGCAAGGTTCTTGGAGCTGCTTTGTTGCTGCCGGTTCATAGAAGCGAGTGTGTAGAAACTCAATTTGGAAACCGGCACGAGCCCATGAAGATCAACAAGCTGTAAGAAAATGAGGCTGAAAAGCACAACGAGGTGACCGGTGAAGATAGGCACTTCACCTTTAACATGTACTAGTGATATACATGGAATGAAAACGCGACTTGGTGACATGTCAAGTTTTTATTTCCCAATTCTCCACTCTAAACCTTTCAAAAAAATGTTGTATATTTTAGCAAGTATCAGATGACAACAACATACGATACAAATTACATGGTGTCATTATGTCTAGTTTCGTGTTTCCAGTTTGCATGAGTCATGAGCTAACCCGTCTTCCGACATCGAGATGATCAAAGGAATCATGGGTCCAGGCAGTATCGAAGGCCCCACAAAAATTTTGATTGATCAGAATGAGTTATCCACGAGTGAAAATCAAAATAGTAAAATATTCCTGTCATCAAAAGTATCACCTTATTCATATGTTAGTGAAAGGTCTAATAAAACAATATCAGAGAACCCTATGCGAAGGTGCATCAACTGTGAGCTACTCCAATAACATCCACTTTAAAGCAGAGGCGTCAAACCAAGTGCTGACATCTTCCATTCCCTTCACA